AGAAAAATTGTCTATTGAGTTGAGCCGGTAATAATCAATATTTGAACTATTACCGGCTCTCAATTTCCCATAAAAAAATGTTCAGCGAATCAAGAATCGGTCATAATCAAAATTTGAATTGTTGGTCCTTGATTGCCGCTTAGACAAATTGTCCAGTGGATCACAATTTAGTAATAATCAAAATTTTAAGTATTACAGGCACTTGATTGTTTTTAGAAAAATTGTCCATTGAGTTGAGCCGGTAAGAATCAATATTTGAATTATTACCGGCTCTCAATGCCTCATAGAAAAATTGTCCAGCGAATCAAGACCCGGTAATAATCAAAATTTGGACTATTGTTCCTTGATTGCCGCTTGAACTAATTGTCCAGTGCATCACAACCTAGTAATATTCAAAATTTGGACTATTACAGGCTCATGAATGTTTTTCGAAAAATTGTCTATTGAGTCAAGAGCCGGTAATAATCAATATTCAAACTATTACCGGCTCTCAATTTCCCATAGAACAATTTTTCAGCGAATCAAGAGTCGGTCATAATCAAAATTTGGATTGTTGGTCCTTGATTGCCGCTTAGACAAATTGTCCATAGTGGATCACAATTTAGTAATATTCAAAATTTTAACTATTACAGACACTTGATTGTTTTTAGGAAAATTGTCCATTGAGTTGAGCCGGTATAAGAATCAATATTTGAAGTATTACCAGCTCTCAATGCCCCACAGAAGAATTGTCCAGCGAATCAAGACCTGGTAATATTCAAAATTTGGACTATTACCGGCTCTTGAATATTTTTAAAAAAATTGTCTATTGAGTCAAGAGCCGGTAATAATCAATATTCAAACTATTACCGGCTCACAATTTCTCATAGAAAAATTGTTCAGCGAATCAAGTCCCGGTAATAATCAAAATTTGGACTATTGGTCCTTGATTGCCGCTTAGACAAATTGTCCAGTGGATCACAATTTAGTAATATTCAAAATTTGAACTATTACAAACACTTGATTGTTTTTAGGAAAATTATCCATTGAAATGAGCCGGTATAAGAATCAATATTTGAAGTATTACCGGCTCTCAATCCCCCATAGAAAAATTATTCAGCGAATCAAGAGTCGGTCATAATCAAAATCTGGATTGTTGGTCCTTGATTGCCGCTTAGACAAATTGTCCAGTGAATCACAATTTAGTAATATTCAAAATTTGAACTATTACAAGCACTTGATTGTTTTTAGGAAAATTGTCCATTGAGTTGAGCCGGTAAGAATCAATATTTGAACTATTACGAGATCTCAATGCCTCATAGAAAAATTGTCCAGCGAATCAAGACCCGGTAATAATCAAAATTTGGACTATTGTTCCTTGATTGCCGCTTAAACAAATTGTCCAGTGCATCAAAACCTAGTAATATTCAAAATTTGGACTATTACCGGCTCTTGAATATTTTTAGAAAAATTGTCTATTGAGTCAAGAGCCGGTAATAATCAATATTCAAACTATTACCGGCTCTCAATTTCCCATAGAAAAATTGTTCAGCGAATCAAGAGTCGGTCATAATCAAAATCTGGACTATCGGTTCTTGATGATTGTGTCTAGAAAAATTATTTATTGAATCAAGAGCAGGTAATAATCAATCTTTGAACTATTATCGGCTCTCAATTTCTCATAGTAAAATTGTCAAGCAAGTCAAGAGCCAGTAATGATCAAAATTGAGTTGAGCCGGTGATAATCAATATTTGAACTGTATTTTCATCTCTTTCTTATACAAGCTGGTAGAAAAAGACACGAATACACTTAGTGCACACAAACCCTTTAAATAGAATTCCCTATAAAATGATTTGGAAATACGCGAGCAAGGACTATGACGTCAAAGTCCCTGAAGACAATAAAATTGTGACGTTGACGAATTTCCCATTGGTAAATCATTTCCAAAATATGACTGCGTCGAATTAATGTATATTGTATTACTACAATTTTTTTTTAAAAATCATGAAAATGTGAAACGGTGTATCTTTCTTAATTTGATTTTTTAAAGTTTATTTTCAAGATTTTCTCATGCTGCCATTTTTCATCGAATTGATTTGAAATTCAGGTATGATAAGCCCCTTTCCTTCCTTTTTTTACTTCAAAATTTTCCCAACAACAGTTTTTCGAAAAATGATCAAAATGTGAAAGGGTGTATTTCTCTTAATTTAGTTTTTTAAGTTGATTTTCAAGATTTTCTCATGTTTGTCATTTTTGATCGAATTAATTTGAAATTCCAATATGATGAGCTTTTTCTCTTCCTCTTTCCACTCCAAAAGGTTCCAAATATTTCCATCAACAGTTTTTCCTAAAAATCATCGAAATGTGAAAGGGTGTATTTTTCTTAATTTGTTTTTTTTAAAGTCGATTTTCGAAATTTTTTCATGTTGCCATTTTTCATCGATTTAATTCGAAATTTAAGTATAATAAGCTCCTTTCCTTCCTCTTTCTACTCCAGAAGTTTCAAAATTTTCCCATCAACAGTTTTTCCTAAAAATCATCAAAATTTGAAAGGGTGTATTTTGCATAATTTGTTTTTTTTTTGTACTTATCTGAATTACATCTGATGTTATCTGATTTACAAATGAAATTTTCTGAATTACATTTAAAAAATCTGACTTACAATTGAGGTTTTCTGAAATACATTTCTGTTTTTCTGAATTACAATTGCGAAAGATGTAGACGCAAAATGTAAATGCGGAAAACCAGTAAATATCATTTCTGACCAGTTCTTTCAGATCCTGCCAAGTCCTGTATGGGTCTTGCTAAGTCCTGCCAAGTCCTGTCAAGTCATGCAAGGTCCTGTCAAGTCATGCAATGTCGAGCCAGGTCTTGTCAAGTCCTGCAATGTCCTGTCGAGTCCTGCAGAAATGAAATTATCTGAATTACATTTAAAAAATCTGAATTACAAGTGAGGTTTTTTGAATTACATTTGAAAAATCTGAATTACAATTGAGGTTTTCTGAAATACATTTGTGTTTTTCTGAATTACAATTGCGAAAGATGTAGTCGCAAAATGTGAATGCGAAAAACCAGTAAATATCATTTCTGACAAGTCCTGTCAGGTCCTGCCAAGTCCTGTATGGGTCGTCCTAAGTCCTGTCAGGTCCTGTTACGTCTTGCAAGGTCAAGTCCTGCAATGTCCAGTCAATATCATTTCTGATGTCCTGCCAAGTTCTGTCAAGTTCTGCCACGTCGTGCAAGGTCCTGTACCTGATTTTGTACACCTCCTGCTGGATCTGTTTACCCCTCGTTAATTTGTTTATTTTTAAGTTGATTTTCAAGATTTTCCCATAGTGTCATTTTGTATCGTATTAATTTGAAATTTCAGTGTAATGAACTTCTTTCCTTACTCTTTCTACTCCAACAGTTTCAACATTTTCAAAATTTTCCAATCAACAGTTTTTTCCAAAAACCATCAAAATGGGAAAGGGTGGATTTTTTTTAATTTGTTTTTTTTTTTTAAGTTGATTTTCAAGATCTTCTCATGTTACCATTTTTCAACGAACTAATTTGAAATTTCATTATCATGAGCTAATTTCCTTCCTCTTTCTACTTCAAAAGTTTCAAAATTTTCCCAGCAACAGTTTTTTGAAAACTAATCAAAATGTGAACTTGATTTGTTTTTTTTTAAGTCGATTTTCAAGATTTTCTTATGCTGTCATTTTTCACCAAATTAATTTGAAATTTGATACGATATTATGATGAGCTGATTTCCGTGAGACACTTACGAAATTCATCGGTACACTTGCGACAACAGTACCGGGGATTATTTCCAGCCAGACGATTTTGTTAGATTTTGACAGATTATTTTCTTTTGTGGAACAATATCCAATGAATTGAAAAAGCAGATTCATTAACAATGGATATATTGGACTTATTTTGTGTAACGACTCATCATTTGACATAAATAGGGAAATTAACAGTTATTATGTTGAATATGATAAAGAATAAATAAACAATAACATCATCAAACAGCAGTGAAGTTGGATACCTAACGCTTAAGTACAAATATTTAATTTTTGTACAATTTACGTGACTGCGCAAAATTGTACTATTCGAACATTTGACAACACCTCCATTTATTATGTAATGACGTCACAACCAAATAGCCATTTTCGCGTGTTTCAATTTCATACTTTTTCGTTTTTGAGATATGTATTTACTTGCGCAAAATTCGTCAATTCATAAAGGGACATCCTGTATAATTATTTATCTATGTATTTATGCCCTTATGTGCGCATTAAAATGTATGGATTATTGAAAACTCCCTTATCCTTTATTCGGGGCAGGTTTGTGTATTAAAATTCATAAGGCCATTTCGGTAAATCTTTGACAAAGAAAAATAAGCGGTGTAAGTTGAACGGGTATTTTTCTTGTATCAAAAAAAAAAGTTTCTCCCTCAAATAAGTACTTGTTATAATTTATTATTTCCCGGACACGAATTTATAAAGTTTACGTGCAAATGCACCAACTTAAAAATAGATTTTAATTTACGTTGAGTGGGAGCTTTGTTATATTTAACATCAATTTTTGGTTAAAAATAACCGATAATAATCAAAAACTACGCTCAAGTAATTTAACTCTAGAAACCGTGCAGGGCGAAAGGACGCTATAATTGTGCCCTATATATTATATAAATTTATTTGTCGGGGAAAATGAGATAAAGGGACGCGCATTCTCCTCCCTTTTCCTTCGGTTTCAGAAACCCATTTCGACGGAAAACTGCCTGTGCAACCTGTGTGCTGAATCGAATTTAACATTTCCAGGAGGAAATGGTTTTTTATATACATGAATTAAAACATATTTATATTACATCAATAACAAATTTGGAAGTTGCAACAAGTTTTTCTCCTGATGCTCCGATCGCCTGCAAAAGGGCCATGATTGCCATGATACTATTTCAATATACCTAGAGCGTTAAATATAAAGAAAATATTTATATATCATCAATTTTATTCGAAATATTGCCGCGTATATACGGATTTATTTCAGGAATTGGGTCCCAGCCGATGTTATTCGAATCAATTCAATACATCGCAAGAACGGTGGAAAATTTCCTGTAAAACTAACCAAATAACATTCCAAACACTTTCTTTTGGAATAATGTATACCAATTTTTGTAATCACAACAAAAACATAATAATGTCACATAATTAGATCACAGAAATTCTTAATCATCTTTAACATAATCCGCCATCATCTCGTCCAAATAATCATGATTATTCGGATCAAACATCTTGCGTTTTTTCGGAACGGTTTTCTGCTCCAAAACCGCAGTGTCCTTAACCTTTATTTCGTCTTCAACTCTCTTAATTGGTCTACCTCTCTTATTTGTTTGCCTTTTTTGCACCGCGCCTGTCCCATCATTTCCATCCTTATTTTTCGATTGAACCGGACCGCGAACATTCTTCTTCTTACTTGCTGCTTTAATTTCCACCATTTTTAAAGGTAATTTTTCGTTTTCGAAATTCGCTAAATTATAGAAATCGGGACTTCGTTTTCGAGTTGATTGATTTTGCATTGTCCTATTTTCGTCCAGTTTATTTGTTTGCGGGGTAGTAAATTGAACTGGATTTGAATCGAAATTGTTCGTTGTTATTTTTGGATTCTCTTGCTTTGCAGTTTTAGGTGGCTCAGGATTATCGAAATTATTATGAATAAATTCCAGATTTTTGTAATTCGGTTTTGTTGATTGTTTACTGATATCCAAGGGATGATAGTTTGAATTGTACATTCTGGTTTTATTTTTGTCAGTGACGTGGTTATTTTTATTTGGTTTAATTACATTTCCTTCGTTACTGTTAAAGAACTCTTCAATATCGTTCATAAGTAATAAATCGTCTTGGTAAATGTTTATTGTTGATGGAGGCTAGAAATTTTAATGTTTTATTTTTTTATTACTTATTGTTTTACTTACCTTTTTTTGTTTCTTTAATTCTTCAATTTGCTTTTTCATGTCAGTATTTATTTCATTCTGGCGCCATATTTTCCTATTTAAATCAATGAGTTCTCTGCGTAAAGCTGTTTCAATTTCGTCTATTTCCAAATCATTTGTTAGTTGTGCCGTGGTTAAATCACTGGTTAATTTTTCCTCTAAAATATATTTTTAATTATTAAATAATATTATGATTATAATACCTACTTTTCTTTATATGGTCCAATTTTCTTTTTTGTATTTGGTTATTAGTCTCTTCAATTTTCCTTTTCCACAATTTTTCTTGTCTTTTTAAATTTATTTCGGCTTCCGCCGACATTTTTCGATTTTCTTGCTCAATGCCCGTTTTGATTTGTTCCAATTTTTCTTCTAATATGTTAATGTTTTTCAAATAATAATTATTACGATCTGCAATTATTTATTTAGGAGAATAAAATGAAGTCAAGGAGAAACGTTATTATATGGTAAAATTTACCTTGAAGCGCAACGTATTTCACGTTAATATTAGACTCGTCACTTTTTAAATTTTGGGTAAAATTTTTGTTCAAATTTATGCTTGCAAGTCTGCTGGTTACCAAATCTTCTTCGAGTTTCTGGATTTCTTTGCTTTGTATGTTCTGGTCTTTCTCCTTTTCAAGGTGTTCCTATTAAAAATTACCACTGGTGAAGAATTTTGGTAGAATATTTATTTATTACACTACTAAGGGCTGGTTTATTAACCTTTTGATAAACTGTCAAGTATGCAATCTGACGGATAAAACCGCAATCTGTAATCCGGCCAGTTACCCGCCGACCAGTTGAATTATAGAACGGTAAATTAATCTTGTAGATAGTTACCAGCAAGTTTATCTGAAGATAAATGAACCGGACTCTAAGTTTAGAAAAAGTGGTTTTCAAGTGAAACTTCTTAACGCGCGCTTGAAATAAAACTTCAAGGCCGTGACATAATTTCCAGTACTGTTTGTGCCCGAGACTATAGGGTGGAAATATCCATATTTTCACAAAAACCCTTTTTTCGGTGAATCGCAATTATTAGTTTTAAAACCACCCTCATAGTAATTTGCAAGTCAAGTGAGGTTTCCCAAACGATGTATTTTGGTACTGCCTTTAATTTCCTGTGCTGTTTGTATCCGAGACTAGGGTGGAAATGTCCATATTTTCACAAAAACCCTTTTTTTGATGAATCGCAATTATTAGTTTTACCCCCTAAAACCACCCTCAAAGTAATTTGCAAGTCAAGTGAGGTTCCCTTAACGATGTATTTTGGTACTGCCTATAATTTCCTGTGCTGTTTGTGCCTGAGACTAGGGTGGAAATGTCCATAATTTCGCAGAAACCCTTTTTTCGATGAATCGCAATTATTAGTTTTACTCCCTAAAACCACCCTCAAAATAATTTGCAAGTCAAGTGAGTATGTATGTACGATGTATTTTGGTACTGCCTATAATTTCCTGTACTGTTTGTGCCCGAGACTAGGGTGGAATTGTCCATAATCCGTCACGATACATTAGAGTTTAGCTTATCGATTCGGTATATCGATTTAAAAACACACTGTATCATATCGATTTGATTTAGGACATATTGTCATAATAATTATCATCTGATTATGAAATTTTGTATATCTATATATATAAAACACAATTGTGTTGGTTCTAGCACTTATAACTCGAGAACGGCTGGACTGATTTGTATGATTTTGAAAAAATCCAAAAAAAAAACAAAAAACAAAATTACTTATTTTACTTATTTATGAAAAAAATTCACTAAGCCCGCATACGGCGCCATCTCTTATAACCGATACCAAGTTTACCGCCACATTTTCATTGCAAACCATTTTGTATACGGCGCCATCTCTGATACCCAGAACGAAGCTCGCCGTTGCGCGGTAATTCCATTGCAGATACAGTAGAACATTGCTGCTCAGTAACTGGAGCTATTCCGAACAGAACTATTTCACTATTCCGATCAGATAGAGTGGTGCAGAAAGAGTAGATCAGGTAGAGTAGTGCAGATAGAGCAGTACATATGGAATAGTGCAGTGCATGCAGTGCAGATAGAGTGAAACAGGGCTGCGCTGGAGATTTTTTTTGTTTTCTTCACATTCTTTGAACATTCCTGTGCCTGAGTTTATTTATTTGGTGGTACACTTTACAAGAATAATGCCCACAAGCTATCTTGAAAGGGATGATGTAAAATTTTAATTTTAGGTGACTTCTGATCCAGAGAGTAAACATTAATTTTCTTCAACCAAAGCCAAATTCACCCTCGTAAAAAACTGAAATTAATTCAGCTAATAGATACGTTAACACAACATTTAATAGGTAGGTATTTAATAATTCAGAGGCGGTACGAAGTTCGCCGGGTCAGCTAGTTTTTGTATAAATGTGCATTCGTAGGTCGAGCGGGTGTACGCCACTGGCGTCACCATGTTTCTGACAACCCCCCTAACCTTCCCTGTTAGTATGAATCTAATTTTTTTGAATAATTGTCATCTGAATATATAATTTTGTATATTTTTGTATACGTCTCTATTCGTAGGTCGATCGAATGTACCCCACTGGTTTTCTCCATTCGTAGGTCGATCATTTGTACGCCACTGGCGTCACCCTGTTTCTTACAACCCCCTTAACCTCCCCGTTAGTATGAATCTAATCCCATGTAAAGTTTTTGAATATTGGTCATCTGATTATATAATTTTGTATTTTTTTGTATAGTATAAACTGCATTCGCACCCTAACCTCACTGTGACCAGAGCCAAAAGAAAACGCTTATACTCTAGAACAAGAAATAAGGAGGGTAGGATCATATGACCCCACAGTCTAATCTAATCAATAATTTGGAGTAAATCCCATTCAACATTCAACAGTCTCGAGATAATTGATTCGGATTATACAGGGTGACTCAGAGTAAATTTCCTTTTTCGAACGTGTCAATTCCTCCATGGATAATCCGCACGGAGGCGCTGAAAACTGCCAGCTCTACTAGCCCCCACAAATATTAAGTTGGATGTAGAGGACGCGTTCGAAAAGAGAAATTTACTTTGTATAAAACCCATATCAGAACATATTTGACATTTTCTTTCGCTGAAAAATAGTTTTAGTGCAGTTCGAACCGACAATTTGGAACGAGTGTCAAAGGACTGTTGCACTGGTTCGCAATATTTCATTGCGTAATCAAATTATATTTAAATTCAACAGTATAGGCATTTAAAAATCTAGCTGTTTAAACGTAAGAAGTTTCACTCCAAATAGGTATGCGCACGAAGTGCACACCTTTTTTTTATTAATTGGACACCCTGTATATAATGTTGGTTATTTAAAAATAATATCGGCAATATAAGCCAAAATTTGTTCTACGGGGGTCAGACAGACGCGATTGTATCCCGATTGCGCTGTCTCTCTCGCACTGCACTGAGCGTTACCTATTCGGGCGTGACGACATAGGCGGCGTTCCGTAAGTTAACCAAGATTCTTGGTTTTTCCGGTTTCCGTTCCGTAACCTAACCACTCCTGAAATCTGGTTAAGTTATGAAACGCGGTTCCTGAAAAATTCGGTCCCAATTGTCAACCGAATCTACCGATCAAAAAGCTTGGTTTTTTCAGTTTGTTTTCAATTTCTGACATTTGCTTGCTAGGTTAGGTGATAATTTTTAATTTTTTTATTTTTCTTCCGCTTTCGACTTGTATTTGAGGTGAAAATAGAAAAAGAGGTGAATACTACATTCATTCCTGACGATTACTTATTACAAATGTATTTTTAAGAGGATAATATTCTATCATCTAGCATCCATGCCAAACCAAAGCTGACCCGAAGCGTTCCACACATTAACCGAATTTTCAGGAACCAGACTGTTACCATAGACGAACCGATCGGTAACTCTGGTTAGGATACGGAACGCCGCCCAAGTTACTGGACCCGGTGCAGATGAGTACAACTAAAGTGCAGTCCGGATGCGCGTTCTTTTTACATTTGTGGGTGACTCCGAGTATAATTATCTTGCACTTTTTAAGTGGTGCATGCTTTTTAGAAATTTGACTCTCAGAGCTATATGGCCTTGCCTTAGCCGTGTTCGTTTTTGTAATCTTTTTTGTCGATTTGCTTCGAAAATTTGACAGGCACGTGATTTGTAAATTGAAACTGTCTAATCCAGTCGTGTCAAAATTTCGGAGCAAATCGACGAAAAAGATAATGGGCGCGTTTGGGTTCATATGCTCGGTGCACTCAGAGCTTGCACTTTTGTCTCTCTTCCGTTATTTTTGAAGCTCCGACAACGCTTGATTGTGTTTGGTTTGACATATTTTGAGCGCTCAGAGCGAGCTCGATAAACTCCGAGTTTGTGGAGTGGGCAGTTGGAGCGTGCATGCGCAGATCAGATGTGTTCAATCTGTCTGTATAACCTAACCTATTTTCCATGATAAAAAAAATAAACAATCCTGAAATTTAACATGTATTTGTTAGCTGGATAGTTTTAGCTATTTTGTTTAAATGTTAAGAATCAAATAGCTTGTGAATTCTGCATAATTGTTTACTTTTAATTAAATTTTCTCGGTAGTCCTCATCACTGGTATTATTGAACATATTTTTCCAGAGGAACTTGGCAGCCTCAGAGTGTTTAGGTCCGTTTTATTGTTTATGTAGCACGACATTTTAAGCAGAACACAAAAGAAAATGGGGATATTTGAAAATTATCGACTAAAATAAAAAACAAACGAGAACTCTGGTGCAAATGCGGAATGCGGGCTCAGACTCAGACTCTAAAAAATATATCCCAAAAAAAATAAACAATAATCAACTGATCGCTCAACCCAGCACTTTTGCACGAGTTTATTTGGCTTGACACGTTGTACTCCCTGTGACGTCATGTTACTCCGTAATCGCTCTGCTCGCTCCGCCGAGCGTCAACCCAAACACGCCCGACAATAGCTTTGTTTTGGTTCGAAATTTGGAACGGTTCTGGGATTGCGCAGAATTGCTTGCGCACAAAAAATAATGAAGGACTGTGACTGTTCTAATACTAGTTCTGTACCGATTCGGAACCAAAAAAACCAAAACACGCCGCAAATCACAAAATTCTAAAACAGTTCCTCCCCCAGAGCAAGAACTGAGAGAACCGTTCTAGAACAATCCCAGAGTTGTTCTTAAATACTTCTATAGATAAACCAAAACACTGTCAAAACAGTTCGATTACGATTTTGAAAAAACGAAAACGCGTTTTATAATATGCGCATGTGCAGAATGATTACGAACTTGTTCTGAGTGAAACCAAAACAAAGCTAATAACGAACACTGCCCTTGCTGCTCTGTTTGAGACTTGTGACTCAATAGTTGTATTCCTTTCAAGAGTTTTGAGAACACTAGAGCTACTCTCTCCGGTGTTAGTCGACCCCCATTTGACAGGAACAGGAGGCATTAATTGAAATTGATGCAACTTTGCGTACACGCAAATATGACTAAAATGACGTCAGTTGCGATTGTAAAAGCGCATGTCAAATAAGCCGTGAGCCGTGCACCAATTTTCAATCACGAATGACGTCATTTGCGTGTACGCAAAGCTGCATCAATTTCAAATAAAGCCTCTCAGAGATGCACTGCCTCTCGTGCATCTTAATGATTGAGTTCGGGCTTGAGCACTTCAGGTGCAACAAGGTGTGAAAGAAATAAAACTTATGCGAATGTCAAACTTGGATTTAAAAAAGCGGTCTTTTTGGGAGAGACTCCGAATGACTCCAAACGAGTGGTTCCGGAGCTTGTTACTCTAAAGAATGCGGCTTTGTTGAAATATTATTATTTGTTATCAATAGCGTTTCGAAAACGCTTTTTCGTACTGTTTTTGGTTGTTGGAACAAACTTCTAACACTCCGTACATTTTGGGCTTTGCATTCTTTGCAATAATAATTTATAATAAAGTATCGCATCTAACCAGGCCTCGGCCCACGCGTGTTTCTGCGAATTCTGCAAACACACAAAAAAAGAAAACTGATTTTTCCGCCCCCGGAGAAACTCAATAAAATCCATAAAGCCAGGCTCTTTATATAAATTTATTTTTACTTACGTATATACAGTCAAAAAAAGCGGATATTTCTTGTGGGGTATCCATGTCTGTAATAGATAATTTGAATGAACAAACTTTTCTTAACTCACAACTTTTTTACATCAACAACAAAACAATACTGACTTAGTTAGGTTAGGTTGTGTTGAAGCATTTACAAAAATCTAAAGTGTCTTTCTTTGTCGTTTTTCTTGAGCGAAACAAGGATGTACTATCAAGATAATGTCAAAAGTCAAAAAACACAAGGCCAACTAGGAGTTCGTTATGGTTCGAAACTTAGAGCAGGTAAAGCGCTGTCCTACGGACATAAGGAGTAGGAACGCGACATTCTGCTTATGAAACTAAAGTGAAGCCAAATTTTTGGCAGTTGTTTGGCACCAAAATACAGGTAAAGCATTGAATTTCCTATACCGCCATTATTTTGGTGCCAAAATACCTGGAAAAAAAACGGCTTCATTTTTCAAATCCAGGTTACTACTCCTCTTTACCTTTACCTGCTCTAAGGTTCGAAATATGAAACGAGGACCGTTCTCATACCAATTCTGAACCGATTCGGAACCAAAACAATCACAAAATTCCGAAACAGTTCCTCGTCAGTGTGAAAACAAAGAAAACTGTTCTAGAACAATCCCGTTAATCCCGGAATTGTTCTTACATAAGTTAGTTGTAAATAATTCAAAAAACGCATGGAAAAACGCTGTTAAGTTGCTGACAGTTCGATTACGTTTCTGAAAAAATGAAAACGCTTTTTATAACATGCGCATGTGCAGAGTGATTCCGAACTAGTTCGGAGTGAAACCAAGCTATGGCCAACTAGGATGTCAGTAAAAGTTCACAAATCTAATAAAGTAAATTAATTTAGTAATTTGTATAAAATACAAGTAAAAATCATAGAAATAAATGTTGAATAAATGAATTTTAAATCGCCCACTTTTAAAGACAAGGCCGAGGATACGACAAAATGTGTTCGAGTCATTATTATAGTAGGAGCATTTTCGTGTTTTGCTTGTCTAATTGAAGTAAATCTATTTTTCTTAAATTATTCAAACTTTTCCGGTATGTAAATAATTAAAATATAAAGAGTATGTTTGTATCGTGCAAGGTACATGGCGTATCATATTATTTAAATTATTGATATTGTTTATGTTGTGTTGAGTTTATTTTTAATATCTAAAAATGCTGATATCTCAAAAATGTCGAAACTTTGCATAAGGGTAAATGTAGTGAAACAGCTACCAAATGACTCCAACTATCACTTATTGAAAACTTCCTATCGATGTATATTATCATTAGCCCCAAAAAATAAGCTAATAGGTTATGGGCCCAGACACAAGCCATTGGTGTCAGTATTTTCCGTAGGAAAGAACACCAAAACTATGACGTTTCCATAATATGAAATTTTTCAAACTCCTTAAAGTTACCACCTACATATAATCCATAGTTCATAATAATCCATCTTTTGATCAATGCATGGGTGTAATAGTAAAATAAAAATTTCTCGAGTAGTCAATTTTTCCCACTTTATAGACTCATGTATATCATTTATCTTTACTGGTCAAGACGAAATTTGTCAGCCATATTTTATCAGTGCTTACTCTATACGTATTTTATTGTAGCCAAAACATGCAGGAAAGAAAATATCAGGTTACCTCTGCCAGTTAGTTAAACTTGCAAATTCGTGAAACACAGGGCATAAAATAAACACTTATTTTGCAGTATTCAAGGTGCCCTAAAGCGTTACAAAGATAAAGTTTTGGACGTCCACTTATAATGAAATGTGTTCATGATGAGATAATTTCGCAATGTTTCACGGTGCTTGTTTAGAACCAGGAAATGCAATTAATTAAAGGAACTCTCTACGTACGTTTATAAAATTATTACAAGAAAAAAAACATTTTTATTCACCCCTCTTGAAACAAAAGGGTTTGGGTATTATGTCGCCCTCTTGTTGGGATATTTCCCCTATATACTTCTAGCGTACAATTTTTGATGTTTGGATTTTTTCTCTGCCCTTAAATAAAAATTCGATAAAGTGTCCTGAAATGCACGTATTACATGGTAAATGGTCAAAGGAGATAATAGAGTTAAATGTCCTATAGGCAAGCGTATAGATGAGCTCATCTATGCAGCACTAAATAATTAATCATGTTTCCTTTGATATTTTGAAGGTTAATATCCTTATAGAGCTATTATAAAACCTCTTTGTACATACATACGGTGCTTATAACTTGAATTAAATAAAAAAACAAATTAAAACATAGCGTTTTTACTAATACATATTTAATTGTTGTTATTTTAAAACAAAAATACCATTAATTAACATGTTTGTTTGTCGCCTGTTACATTGAAGCAATCATTTTTTATGTATAATTTCAAATTAAAATGTCAACCTCCAAATGGGAATTTGGAACATTGGGGTTTTTTAAATTCTGTTACTCGATTGATTTAGTTATTATTGTCAGATAAGCTAATTAATTGCAATTAAACACGATAACATTACCGGTCTGGTAACTTTCAAGTAAGAAGAAACGATTGTAAACTTGATTGTTTTCACATCGAAACCTTAACAAAGGAATTATCAAATTAAAAGAGTATTATCGAACACCCAGCAATTGATTTAATATTCATTTTCTTCATGAATATTCAATGAAGTCGAGTAAAACAAGGGGAGCCATTTGAATTTATGCACAGGAAAATATTTATTTTTCAGGATGTTCGATTGTCTAATTACGATTTATTGAATGGATAAGTGTTCTCGTTAAGAAGTTAATACTTGAGATGGAAATCGATTATAAGACAAATAATCGTTACCTGGAAAATATAATTAAAATGTTACTTATGTACAGTGTTGCCAGAGAGCAAAAATTTTTTGTCCAAAATTAAAGAAAAATTGTACCAGAGCGGGTTAATCGGCCAATCGGCCCAGGGAGGACACGCTGATTCCTTCAGTGTAGCGCGCGTGCGGCCCAGAATATCTAAGGGCATCATCATAATAGGTATTAAAATCAGTTGAAAATGAACGGACTCATATAACTCCGGCCCTTGGGGCTCGTATAACCTCGGCCTTTCGGACTCGGAACGTAATTAAAACAACACCGGCCATTCAGGCTAGAGATTTGAAAAAAACATACTTATGACAATACTGCTTATGATACAACAAACGTTAAAAAATTGTCGTTTCAAAGTAAGCCTTGTTTTCTTTAAAACTCGATACAAAATGGCGTTTCTTTGTTGCCCTGTGGGCTCAAGATTGAAAACACTCTCGCCCTTCGGGCTCATGATTAAAAAAAAAACCATTTCAATCCTTCAGCGTTACAGTGTTGCCAAAAGTTAAAAATTTCAATCAGCCTACAACATCATAACAATCATTTCTTGATGTCAATTGCCACTTGTCAACGTTTTACATTTACAATTACAAATGCTCCAAAATTACCGTTAACATGTGGCAACGTTGCTGTCGTAGGCCTCAATCTGAATCACAAGGCTGTCAATTGACAAAAAAAGTCATAACAATCGTAGGTGGTCCTGAAAATTAACCCGTCAATTGTCAAAAGTCATAATATTGGCAGTTGTCAAAAAAAATTGAGTAATTATTCCAAGTGTTTGAACCGGGAACAATAGAAAATTAACTATGATGATGGTTTAGCTCGACCAACTGATTATTTAAATTGTTTCCTACTTTATCTCGCTCTTTATCTTACTTATTTATAATCGCTTTTGGTTTTTTAATAATGTATCCTACCTTTTTTTCTTCTTTGTTTTACTCATTAAAATCTGGAAAAACATTATGTTTGAGATTGTAATTATGGCAACGTCGCTTTTGATCAAGTAGGTCTTGTAATGTAATGTCATTTGGCATTTTAGACAGTCGGCCATTTTCGAGTGTTTTTATCCAGCTTCTCCTCGAATTTTCTACTTTTCCAGGCCGGTTTGGATCGGAAAAACTGTTATTTATATGCGAGCCCGAAGGGCCGGAGTTATACGCGAGCCCGAAAAGCCGGAGGTTTACGCGAGCCCGAAGGGCCGGAGTTATACGCGAGCCCGAAGGGCCGGAGTTATTTTAATCACGGGGCCCAGTTTATAATTCTATTGGTCAGCGGATAATTTGGAGCCAATCAAAAACTGGGAATATTCAAAATGCGATTTTTAGCGCCCAATCAAAGAGCCGGGAATATTCAAAAACTTTAGTTTTATCAAGTTGACTTTGGTATGTTGGTTTTCTATTAGGTTTTCTTAAGATTTTAACTTTTTTCAGAAAACGGTGGTTTTTGCTATCATATACTACTTTATCGTTGTCTTTGTCTTACTCACTATAATCAACAAATAAACCTTGTAATGTCATTTTCATTGAAATTAAACTAAAAACAAGTTTCCGATGCTTTATCTATAGGGAATTTTAATCATTATAATCATTATTTATTAATTATTTAACAATTTTTAATTGAATTTTAAACAAAAAACTCATTTAAAATGTTATTTTTGTTTTCCGAGATGTATTGTGGCAATGTTGCTTTTAGTCGGCCATTTTGAAGTGACTTCTTGTGATTTTTTGCGAGTTTTTCCTCGAATTTTCGACTTTTCCGGGGATTTTTGATGGAAAAAAAACGATTTAACATACGAGCCTTTGAGTTTTCTTCATTTTCTAGCAAAAATTTCCACTTTCAAATGCCATAATTAGCAAAATCCCATTTAAAATGCTTTTGATGTGGCAACACCGCTTGTCGCTAACTTCAATCAAGGAGGTCTTGTAATAAATATCATTTGTCATTTTTTATAGTCGGCCATTTTCATTTGACGTGTTTACATTTTTATACAGTTTTTCCTCGAATTTTCCACTTTTCCGGGCTGTTTTTGATCGGGAAAATCGATTTGAAGTATGAGGCTTTGAGTTTCCTTCATTTTGTACCAAAAATTTCGAGTTTTTCAAAAAGAAGTAAGGTTAAGATGTCTCAGGATTGTTATAAGTGTAAAAAACCCTGTGTTTTAAAAGAGAAAAAGGGTAAACTCTTTGGGTTTCCGTGTGATTTTTTTAAGAGAATTATCTGTGGAGATTGCACTGGAGCTTTGGCAGGAGAGATAAGGGTGATTCCAAGTCCCTCTA